GGAAGAGAGAGAGAGAGAGAGAGAGAGAGGAGAGAGAGAGAGAGAGAGGAGGGGGGGGGGGGGGAGGTGGACACTAAAAGAAAGCTAGCATCAGGTAGGGTAGGCTCCAAAACCTGGTGGTCCCTGGTCAAGGACAGACAAGGTTATCTGCCTGATGAACTTATTCCACCTCTAAATCGACAGGATGGGACCACCTCTACTAGTAGTCAAGAGAAGGTAGACCTCTTTGCTGAACACTTTGCTACCAAAATGCAAGTTCCTGATCCAGCAAGGGACCCTCCTTGGCTAGCTGCAAGAACTGTGTCGAAACTGTCAGTGGTGACAATAAGGCAGGAGGAGGTGCATTTCCTTCTTAAATCGCTTGACCAAGAAAAGGCTGTGGGCCCAGACAAGTTGAGCCCAAGATTGCTGAGAAGATGTGCAGACCAGCTAGCAGCACCTCTAACTCGCATCTTTCAGCACTGCCTAGTACAGTGTAAATGGCCCTCTATGGAAACAGGCAAATGTAGTCCCTGTTCACAAAAAGAAGAGCAAAGCAGAAATCAGCAACTACAGACCAGTGTCACTTCTGTCAATCACTGGTAAGATCCTTGAGACAATAATCTCAAGACAAATGACAGAGTTTTTTGACTACCACTCACTACTCTGTGATCGTCAATATGGCTTCAGGAAAGGTTACTCTGCTGCTGATCTGTTGTTAAACCTCTCCACTAAGTGGCACCAGTCACTGGATGAATCCAAAGTCAGCTGTGTGGTAGCACTGGACATTGCTGGCGCTTTCGACCGGGTGTGGCACCAGGGCCTCTTAGCAAAACTTCAAGCACTGGGAATTGCAGGCTCTACACTATGTCTCCTCAGTGATTACTTTCATGGTAGATCTCTAAGTGTAGTTCTCAATGGAACGGAATCAGCAAGACATCCTATTGGGGCAAGTGTTCCACAAGGAAGCGTGCTGGGACCATTGTTATGGAATGTCTACTTCAACGACCTTCTTCATCTCATCCCAGAATCACATGCATATGCAGACGACTGTACACTGACATTCACTTATCCAAGAGAAGAAATGCCAGCTGCTCTAAGCTACATCAATCACCAGCTGAGAGCTATATCAGCTTGGGGAAATAGATGGCAAGTAACATTTACACCTGAGAAAACGCAAATGATGATCGTCTCTAGGCATCATGATGGTAATGCTGGTGCAGTAGTAAGGATGAATGGGAGGGTGTTGACACCTGGAGAAGTTGATATCCTTGGGGAGAAATTTGACTCCAAACTAACCATGAAGAACCATGTTGTAAATCTTGCAAACAAGGCAGCCAGGAAGCTTACAGCACTTCGCCGTATCTCGCATCTGCTTGACAGTAGGGGTTGCAAGATTTTGTACGAGGCACAAGTACGCTCACACCTTGAGTATGCTCCACTTTCTTGGTTTGCCTGCCCCCCCCCCTCATCTACGACTGCTTGACAGAGTAGAGAACAGAGCAAGACGTCTCATCTCTCGCCTGGACCCATCCTGGATAGATCTGTCATTTCAGCAGAGCCTTCAACATAGGAGGGATGTGGGTGGCCTTACTGTTATGTACAAGGCCAATATTGTCAAAGTACCACACATGGATCCACTTCGAGGACAGCGTGAAACAAGCTTTTATGCCACAAGACGGGCAGAAAGCAGCAACTTCACTCTGGCTGTACCCTTCTCCAGAACATCACTCCATCTGAGAGCCTATATACCCAGGATGACTCGAGTATGGAACACATTCGTACAGCATAATGATGTCAACGAGATAAAGTCAGTTGATCAAATGAAAATGCTGGCCCACAGATGGCTCCAACTTCATCCTGTTCCCTACTTGTATGTCTCATAACAATAAAAATGCGTTCAAATGAGCTGATGTAGGTAACAGCTCTTAGCTTGCCAATAAAGCTAGGAATCCTTAACCTGTAAATAGCTTGTCAATAAAGCTAGGGATCCTTAGCCTTGTCAAACCTTGTGAAAGAGAGAGAGAGAGAGAGAGAGAGAGAGAGTCAGGGTGCTGAAAAGTGAAGAAACTAAAAGACGTCGTGCGTATTCTGGAGATTATAGCGTTCATAACATACTGACTTATCTCGGCTTTCTTTTATTTTCTCACTAGTGACTTGATAAAGGCTCAGGACGGCCCAAAAACTCTTCCAGTTTTCCAGCTTGTGGGTTAATTGCGAATTGTTCCTTAGGTCTGTCCTGTTTACAGATCAAAGAACTGGACATCAGTATCACAGCTGCAGAAAGGAGGGTAAGAGAGACCAGGAGACGAGTGCCCTCCGCCAGACAACTCGAGAGCCGAAGACTGGCTGTCCTCAACGCTAAAAAGGCGCTGCAGAACCGCATTCAGCAGGTAGGTTACTGACGACGTGTGAGTTATCATCATTATCATCACTGATCATATTACCGTCATCAGTATCCTCTCACCAGGCGACGGTGAGGCTGAATGCTGTGCTGGCGGATAACCGCGTCCTCAGGACGACACTGGAGAACATACTGAAGGAGCGTGACAAGTTTATGCTTCAGGTAACTTTTAGCATTCATGGTCCCTATGGATGCAAGGTGGGGACTTCAAAACATACAAACAACAATTAATGAAACCCTAAACCCTTTAGTTTCTTAAAAAAAAATAGCAGAGTGTTAGAGAACTTACAGCTATCTTGACTTCTGACAACACCTATGAACAGTTCATAAACCATAAAATATAATCATCAAAATCTACACTAAATATCATTAATGCTGATTTAACTGACCAACTAAAAGTACGTAAAATTTATTAAGGGTAGAATTTCTTTGATGTAGACATTATAAGCCCTGACCTAAGGTGACCCTACAGGCTCATCGTTTGGAGAAACAACTGGCTGTCACAGTGAAGAGGAAGAGTGACATAATGGACCAGGTCACCAAGGCATATTCTGAGAGGTACGTAAGGTTCAAGAGTCCTTCACTAGCATCAAGATAACTTTCCCCCGCCTTTGAAGAGTCCCTGGGTATAGCTCCTGTCCTCTAGATAGCATACTTGACCCATGATGCACCTTACACAATATACAACCCACGGGTTGTGTATTGTGAGTGGAGCAATACACAGGGTTGTGTACTGTTCCAGTCACGGTATTGTGCCTTTTATAATTCTTCATGATATACCTTGGTGTCGTAGAGACGAAGCTCAGACGAAGATGCGTGCCATGAAGGACCGTGGTGAGCGGGACGCCCAGCAGTACACCCACGAGCTGAAGAAACTGCAGAGAGCTCTCGACCACCAGACACACCTCAGGGCCTTCGTGGCTACCATATCTGCCGGCGAAGATGACGATGCTTCACAACGCCGCACTGAGGGTATGTGCCTTACACACGAGGCTATGCCTGTAGAAGAGGTGATAACGATAAATTTTGTTTAAAAAATCACAATATAACGCTATTTAACATTTAAAAATATAAAATATATCATTTCTCATTTAATCTTATCTCTAAACATAAATAAATTATATTCTAAGGTGATAACTAAAGTTCAGAGGTGGAGGCTGCCCTTTCTAACGTCAGAGCCTCGTATGTAATTTTAAAATGGGGTACGAGGTGGATACCCATCTCGGATACCCAACCTGAGTCCGGAGACATTTTCCCTGACGAAAAGGTGTAGGGTATGTCTAAGGAAGTGTGAGGAGAGTGTAAAGTAGGTTTGAGAGGATGAGGCTTGAGCCTATACGAGACACGTATTAGAGCGGTGACTCGGTTAACTGCTGTCTACCAGTCACGGTTTATGTATGAAGAACTCGCAATTTAAGTTTACGGAAGTTAAAATCTAATACGAAAACAATGGTTATCTACAGAGGGTGACTGTAGAGTATGTTTATGTGTGACTGCTTTTATTAGTGTATCTAGTATTATTTAGTATGGTGACGTACCGTGTGTATGTCGCCATTAGCATACCAAAGATCAAGCCTCCACCAGTCTTTACGACGAATGAACCACATGGGTTAACCACTAAACAAAGTACAAAATCTATAAACAGGCAAGTTTCGTTTTAGGTGAGGGCGGAGAGCCGTGGGGCCCAGAGCAGACACTGACGACGTATCGATCATCAGTATCCCATCTTCAGGAGATGAGTGGGGAGGGATCGGTGGAGACCCTCGTTACTAATTACCTGCAGGCTGAGAACGACAACTACACACTCTTCACTTACATCTCTGATCTCAACAACGAGGTAAGACGGTAAAGGGCAAAGTTAACAAGAAACACTTATGTATTTACCTGGGAATTGATCTCAGGGAATAACAGGAACCCCAGTGGAAATCAACGACCCCAATGGAAATAAGTCACTTTATACTTATTTGTACCGGTGCCTAAATGAACTTATTTATTTACTTAATCCCTACTGTAAGATGTGTCCAGTAAACTATGTGCATATATACACTGATTATTATTATTAGATTCACAAAATGGGCTCAACCTACGTATATACATGTACACTGAGATATACACCTCTCAATGCATATAAACTGCTTAGTCTAATTTTGAGAAGGCCATGTAATGAATGGTGGTTGAGGTGCTGATACCAGCTCAGCCACTACTATTGCTACCACCATAAAAAATACATGTGGAGTGCTATATGACTCGTACAGTGTTACCGCTTACAAAGAATGAAAAGACATTACCGTGACCGTAACAATACACAAATGTGCGGGTTTTATGTATATTAGCGCTAATACTTTTAGTTTGATAATAAACTCAATTAAACGTTATATTACATCCTTCGGATGACAGGTCTGATTATTCCATTTTTTAAAAGATTCCGTGAGTCTTTGTTTTTATCCTCAAATGGAACACTGTCAGCAATTTCTTTTCCTAGTCTCCCAGCTACATGACTGCTACTGCTCAGGGGCGGGTCCTGAAATTCTCCAAGAGGATCATCCTTGCCCGTAACAAGGGAAAAAAAAGACAGGCTGCCCCTGTTGGGCAGTAATTTTATAAGTAATATCAATCAATGCCGTGGCATCCCTCCTTGCCCTCTCCCCCTGATGACGCTTCTAGTGTTAAATTTCAGTATATATTTGACCATTTTGACTGTGTTCAGGTCACCAGCTTGACAGCAGAGGTGCGTCGAGTGCGTCAGCAGATCGAGGAGACGGCAGGCAAAGGAGCTGAGAAAGATAGAGACTCCCAACGCACTGTCTCTCAGCTGGAGGTGAGTCGTGTGGTGGTATTGTATTGTATTGTATTGTATTTCCTGAGTTAGATGAGCGAGACATCTTCATCAGTCTTATTGTCGAAACGTTTCTTCGAAGATGATGGACTGATTGCATTATCGTTATATCTCCACTGCTGTTTGCTGACTTCTTTTTGGGTTATTCTAGGTAATGTACACATGTTACTATGATAATTATAATACCTACAGTAATTTCATATAACTGTACGTATGTGTACCTATAACTAGATAAACGTACGGACTGTGTAGGCTAAACGTAGCGACAATAAAACCACCAAAATGTCACACATACTGTTCTACTCGTCTACTCTTCGGTATTAGATACCATTTACATAATTTCCTAAAGTAATGACGACTGGATCCTTCACCCACTAATAGCGGGTTGTTCCCCGACCAATTCAGATACTAAAGCTGGGCAAATATTTTGACTTACTGGCCACATCACCAGCTCAGCCTGCTTATATGAGCAGGCATTCTCACATTAATGAATGTGAGAAGCTCACACATGAGCAGATACTTACATTTTCCAGGTGGGAGATGGCAGATGAAGGTGACCCATACCCTCTTGAGGCACAAATAAACAAGAAACCAAGAAAAGAAAGACTAAATCAGAGATTTCGTAGACTAAAAGACGAGTCACCTGGAACACAGATGGCGCTGACATATACTCACCCAGGCATCAACACAAGAATGAATTAAAGAAAATTGTCCGTCCTGATATCAAGATAAAAACACATACCTAATATGGTTATGTGTCCAGTGTGGCCAGGTCTTGCTGCTAATGACTTCCCAGCACACGCTCCTAATTACGACACAATCGAATCAAACTGAGTTATTTCTTAAAATAGAAATTATTATTATTATTATTATTATTATTATTATTATTATTATTATTATTATTATTATTATTATTATTATTATTATTATTATTATTATTATTATCATAACGAGGCGCTAAACTCTTAAAGGTCATACAGCGCTGTTAAACTGGGTATACTAAATTGTTAACCATAATGGCGTGCCGGACAGAATTCCTTGGCCAGAGCCTATATTTTGTCCGCCCCTGAGTTAGGTGGCTGTAGAATGCCTCGTTCTTGTAGTAACCAGAGTGCAAGTTCTCGGATGAAGCATGATTGTTTAATGGGCCCAAAGATCTCGACATATAATGTAGCAGGTATAGCACAGGAAAGTGTAACTAAATTGGGACCATAATGAAAAAGTCACAATGTAATTTCATTGGGTTATCTTACGTTAAATCGACATAATGTCTTTTTTATGTATTCAAGACATCTGTGTGTTATCGATATCATTGTAAAAAAATGCATGTTATGTTTCCTAAATCTAAATTAAAACCTCACTAAATGCCTTACGGCACACAGTACATTCCTTCTTAAAAAAAAAAACAACATACCACGGGTGGGGTTTGAATCCGCGGTCAGAGAGTCTAAAACTCTCTGACCGCGGGTTCAAACCCCACCAGTGGTATGGTTTGTTTGTAATCGTGTCATTACGATTTCGTGAGACATTCCTTCTTTTCTGTTTGGCGGTGTTTTTGTATATCATTGCTTGACTACACCTTCCTCCTACCTTTCTCCTGTTTCCACCCATTCTATCATTTCAATTACTCAATTATGTTTAAACTCTCAATTACTTTTATTCTTCATCCTCTGTACCCTCTTCTATCACCTTCTCCTCACCTCCCTTCCCTCTACCACATCCATAAGCACCTTACTAACCCCTCTTGTTGTGTTTTATTGCAGTCTGAGGTGCGGTCAGCTGAGGAGGCAGTTGAAGCCTTGGAGAGGGAACTTAGACAAGCTGAGGACACTCTCACAGAGATGAAGACTTCTACACAGGAGTTGTTTGATCTTCTTCAGTGTGACGCTCAGCCTATTGTTGCTATTGTCGGTAGGTCGAGCGGAGCGTATTATTACTACTACCATCACCTTAGACGGAGGATTGATCTTCCACTATTTTTGTGTTGGGTGATGACACATACGAGTGTAATGTTTCATCAAATGTAAAATACAATCTTGGGACGATTTTTTTTTTTTGGTAAATGGTTTCAGGTTGTGATTCCCTTCCCTAATGATGACATATTAAGGGCCAAGAACTAAACCCCTAGGAAGACCTGCAGTATCTGGGGATAGGATGGTAATCAGGTTTGATCTAAGGAAGAGGGGTGACTCAAATAGCCTTAAATCAACAGCCCTTTACCGGAATGGGATTAAAACCCTTGTCAAGCCTTCGTTCGTTCAACCAAATTCAATTGAGCTTATTTCACTCCACTTCCTGGTGGACGCAGGCGGGGGAGAGATTACAAGTGCTAGTGTGTCTGTGTACCTGTCCGTGGTGGAGCAGCGGGTACACGAACTCCTGCAGCTGCGTCAGTTCCTCCTGGCAGAGGACCAAGCCCCAGCCGCCGCCCTCGGGGAGGATGCTCTCCACGACGAAGCCGCAGAGGGCAGATCGTCGTCTGCCTCGTCAGCCAAGGTCGTCGTCCCTCTCGGCAAGCCCCAGTGAGTGTTGTCAAATGTTAATTTGAAAGCCTGAGCATACCGTATTTTCCGGCATATATGGCGAGCCTTTTTCCCCCACAAGAAGTCTTGGAAAAATCAGCCTGCTCCTTATATGCTCCAAGGTCAAGGGTCAAGGGTAGGCTTTGGGTTACGCTCTAGTGTAAAGTAAGAGGGCAGTTAGCCCTGGAATATAATTACTGATTCACCGTCATGGTACCTCTGCCGTGCGTCTTATATGCCGGATAATACCCATGAACCATGGCCGGGTCGAGACAGTCTCTGTTCTCTGTGTCAACGAGTCAACGTTGTAGGTTCGAACTAATGAACTCTGGCAAGAGGCGAAAGTGAATATAATCGGTCATACGGCCGGGTACAAATAGGAACTTCTGTTTAGTGCTCAGCAGACGGAGGATGAAGCCTCCACCACGTCTTGCGCTGAATGACCCACATGGGTTTAGCGCTTAACATGAATTATTTAAATTTACTTTCTCTGCAGACAATTGATAAAAATAACGCACTTTCAGAAATGAACTTTATTAAGACGTTTCAGCTTTATTGAGACGTTTCGGCTTTATTGAGACATTTCACTGCCCGAAGAAGCCTGTCCACAGGCGAAACATCTCGATATTATCACAATCAAAAGAAGCACTAAACCTACAAGGGTCATACAGTGCTGCAAACATCTCGGTGAAGCTCCTCACTGCCACTGTGTCATTTCTCAGCCCATGTCGAAGTTCATAGGTTCGAGCCTACAGCGTTTCAGAAACGTACATATTGAACATATGTTGACGTTGCATCTTGTTGCAGGTTGCCCCACACGGCCCACGTCAACGATGAAGAGTATACCAATGGAGGCCCGCTGACTCACGGTGACCTCCTGGCTACCATGCGCAAGTTTATTCCCAACAACGACGATAACTGAGTCATCTGGACAGCGTCCGTCCCTAATTTTGCCGACAACTACCACTTCTACGTTTATAAGTGAACTGTAGATATGTAGATATAAATCCATATGTGCACCTAGTTTCTAAGCCTTTTGTGTATCCATATGCTCTTGCGCTACCGTCCACAGGATGGATATGGGATGCACAATAAACTAGCCACTTCGGTGGCAAAATCTAAATCTAATCTCTAATAATCTACTACTACTACTATTACTGCTACTATTACTACTATTACTATTGCTATTACTACTATTACTATTACTATTACTACTATTATTACTATTATTGTTACTGCTACTATTACTACCACTATTACTATTAACTATTATTATTACTGCTATTACTATTACTACTGCTACTACTGTTACTATTACTATTACTACTACTCTCTTCTTACCTCCACCCCCTCGCACACTGCCTTCTGGTCTTCTTTCTCTTGTCGCATCTGTTGTGACCTGATAGTGGTTCAGGACAGATCGAAACGTCGTTACAACGTTTCTCTCCCAAGTGTAGTTTATTGCTGAAATTTTAAGGAGGGGGGTGACTTACAAGAACAGGACCGGGAAGTAAAGACACTAAGAACACTTTATTAAGGAAACGTTTCGCCCACTAGGGGAATGTATCACCATAGGAAATAAAGATACAAGACTGTTATGATATTTTAGTTACAGCTTGTTACAGCAACTGGAGGAGCAGCCATCTACACGCGGTGAGCTCTGGGTATTTTGGCTGACTGTAGGTAGTCAGTCAGTGTATATGCTGTCTATGCAATAACATCACAGTAAACAGGTGATATCATAATATGCAAAACCACCACCGTGAAAAATTTAGTGATCTTCCAAGCGTTTTCATGATTTCTCACATTATCAAGGACCTGTGATAATGTGAGAAATCACGAAAGCTCTTGGATGTTCACTGTTTTTTCACAGTGGTTGTTTTGCATGTTGCCTAATTCTGGATAATTATACTCACCTTTCCTGGGATCAAATTTGATCGAATCCACAGGCCCTGCATGATCCTTATGATTTTATCTCTTTTTCTTAAATATAATAGCAACAACCATATATATCACACCCGCTACTTCCTTTAAGATAGCAGATAATAAGACCTAGGAAGTTCAGAAAGCGTAATAAAAGAGTTTGATTATTACTGTATGGGAATGTGAAGTAATCAGGTTCGATGCAAGGAAGGGTGGAGTAGATTAAGAGCCCTTCAACGTCATCAAGGAAGGGTGGAGTAGATTAAGAGCCCTTCAACGTCATCAAGGCAGCCCTTCCCTTCCCCTGAACAGTGAAATTGATTTTGACTGTGGCTTTCCGTGTTTTGGCTTCACATACTTGAGATAATGATGCCAAAGAAACATTCAACCTTGCTCTAGTTTGAAAAATTTAAGGTTTGCTGACTGTACGAGGATCGTTATTGTTGCAAGTGCACCTACGTCAAGTGCACCTATGTCAAACACACATAAGTCAATTATACCTACATGTACGTCATATGCACCTACGTCAAGTGCACCTACAGTACACCTACGTCAAGTAGGTATTTAAGTAAACTCTGAGGTGTATGAACAAGGAAATACACACCTCTGTATACTGCTACCGTTGTATTTCAATTAACCAAAATTCCAATCTTGGGAGAGGAACCTTAGGGCGACGTCTCGGCCGATGCTGGACTATTGTGATTTGACAATGGTCCAGGATGGAGTGAAACGTCGTCATAAGTGAAGGTTCCTGGTGAAGTGTTCCAACCACTGTGCTGTAAGTTAATATTCTTCACGGTCGTGTTTCGTAACTGAGTGTTTTTATACGATAGGTTGGATTATTATAATCAAAAGAAGAAGCGCTAAACCCACTAGGGTCATACAACACTGGGGAAGGGGTGGAGCTCCTTACTAGGTGACACATCTATTGACAAATAACCAAGGCTAGCACTAAACTTTTAACTGGTACGCTATTCATGGGTAAATTGAAACGCAGCTATGACACATTAATCAAAGATTCCAAATAGCTTTGATTTGCTGTGTATTGCAAATCCTCATACATTAATAAGCAATGCTTTGTCTTTCAACACGTCAAAGCAATTAATGAATAAGGTTGCCAAAAGGATTTGCCATATACAGATATATAACTTTGCGATGTAGTTCAGCTGGGCTTGTGAGGTCTCTGGGGAGACCTAATTTAACCAATTATATGGTCACCTTGCCTTGGCAAACGTCTGTCAGAGCCACGCCTTTTCGGCTTAAGTCTCAGCTCCTTTGTTCGTCACTGGCGTCAGATCTCGGCATCAGGTCGTAGCACGTGGTGCACACCCCATTGTGGAGGGTGCTTGGACCACCATATAAGCCCAAGGAACAGCATGATCGGGAGACTTTGAGTGGAGCTGCTGCTGTGTGCAGAGCTCTGAGCAGGAGATTCGAGAGGAGCTGCTGCTGGGGTGCAGGGCTCCGGAGAAGGCTGCTGAAGTCTCTGGAGGAGACTGTTGGAGACATTGGGCAGAGTACTGGCTTGGAGCAATACTCGTGCTGTATAGGTCTTGGGACCTGTGGCTTAGTTCCTGTGGTGAACTGTCCTCTTTACTATATTGTAAGTTATATTAATTTTCGTCAAGTTGATTGTGTTCCCTGTCTCACTGCTTATATGTACCACCCCATTTATCTAAACCCCAATAATGTACCCCTGTTCCCAAATATATTATTGTACAAGGACTTAATAATAAACTGTGTTTGAGTAGAATAGTAATATTTACTCTCCCCGTTGTTTAAACATTTATTCATTTATTTTTATTTCAAGTAGTGAGAGGGTGAGTAGTGTGGTGGGTAGAGTAATGAGAGGTGAAGGTGTAGTCACCAGTGACCTCACATTACTTACCTCCGCTAATCATCTCTCCTACCACCTCGCCTGCCAATCCCCTGCGTACTCCCTCCGTTTACTCACATATTCTCCAATTACCCCTAGCATTTCAATACCCCCCTACATGACAACTTACAGTTGTGCGAAACACGGAACTGGTGGGATTCGAACCCATTGCGAGTCGTAAAATTCGCTTGCCATAGGTTCAAACCTCACCCTTTCCGTGGTTTGTTTACATTCATGTTATTACGGTTTCGTGAGTTCAGTTATACAATTTATAAGGGAGAGATATACAGGTCACAAGGGAGAAAATCAGACATACTTATCCATCGATTTTTCTCTCCAGTTTCTAGATTATTTGTGACTTGATAATGGTCCAGGAGCGAAACGTCTAGTAACGTTTCCTCTCCAAGGTGCGGGTTAATTGTGTATTGTTCGTGTCACAGTATTGCGACTTTATTTACTTACACAGTGTTTAGGTTATACGATGCTAATATTGTGCAATGTTCAGTTTGCCAGTTCTATTTTCAATAATGAGTAGTCAGTAACGATCAAACCAGAATGATTTAGATAATATTAAAGTTTACATGCATGTTAATGAGTTCCTCAAAGTTCCTCAAAGAGCTGGTTGAAAACCTCATCAGAGAAACCAAGGACCACAGGGCGACCAGTTTCCTCTTTCAGAGATTCAGTGTTGCGATCCAGAGAGGAAATGCCTGCAGCATTCTGGGCACGCGGCCCACCGCCGGGGAGCTGGACAAAGTATTCGAGATGTAGCTCTGAGTTGTTATCTATGTTGTTTTACTCCCTATTGTATTTTTGTCAATGTATTTTGTCAATGCATCTTGTTTTTAAATAAAGCATATGTAGAATATATAGGAGGTGGTAGGAGAAAATTAAGTCGTGCCGAATAGGTAAAACTTGAGATTTCGGCTAAAATAGCAACTCTCTTCTTGCTGAATAAAGCAAGCAAAAATTTGAGTATGCAATAATTTCACAAAACTCATTCTGATCCTAACAAAAACTATATTTCATTGTGTTTGTTTATTATTAAATTACTGTATAGTTATCTAAAATACATTTAGTTGGATTAGGCTAAATTAAATTGCGCCTGTTATAATAAGGTTAAGTAAGTTTTCCAAGGTTCTTTTGGTGCAAAATTATTAATTTTTACATTAACATAAACGAAAAATATAGATATTTAATCGTATAAGAGAAAAATTTAGATAGGATTTAATTTTAAATGAGTTCTTGCTAACTGACCAATTTTACCTATTCGGCACGATATATATATTGGGAAGTGGCCACTACAGGAAACAGCAAAGCATTAAGATCTCATTAAAGCATGTGTTGTCACTCTGTCCCAGGGGCTCGTACATGACCCTGGCTCCACACAGGACCGTCCCTGGTACACACGAAGTCCAGTTACTCCAGGTCCCTGTCGAATCTGCCGAAGATACCAGCCTTATCACAGTACTTCCTAGTGGCACATGAAATATTTGAGAATAATGTACAAATATTCATTCTAGTCGTTTTGTGTATATTTTGGCTCTTGCTCTACCATCCCCGGTATAGATATTGTGTGCACAGAAAACTAGCCACTACCATTCACAGGATGGCTATTGGGTGCACGATATGCTAGCCACTTCGGTGGCAATATCTAAAAGAAAAAATCTTTGAGAACGTTTGCAAGGTTTTCTTACTAATTTTGGCACAAAAATTTCCTTACTGATCTACAAATTTTTGTGCAGACATCTGCAAGTAGCATTTATGTACTTTCCTAATCTAGAATTCTCATGTTGCTCGGATATTTTGAAAGAACATGCCCGTTCTCTCTAGCCGAGGTTTATATAAGTAGTGCTGGAGGCGGCTGAGTGGCTCCTGCGGCTGAGCGGTCTCCTTTCCTGAGCGTATCCTCCTGAAAAGGTCTGCGGCTGAGTGGCTTCCTTTTCCTGAGTGGCTCCCTTTCCTGAGCGGTCTCTTTCCGCGCCCGCGCGCCCGCCCAAGCGCCAGCCCGCCCGCGCCGACCCACGACCTTGACCTCACCCTCGACCACCTCGCTCTTAAACCCCCCACCACACCCTTAACCCCCCACCCACGCCCCCACAATCCACAATTTCTTTACCAAAGATTCACTCTCCTCAAGTCTAGATATTTTTCCCGTTTTAACTATTTCATCAGAAAAAGTCTGGCGAATCTTATCTGACCGATCTCAGATAACATCTCAGGTCACTCCCCCACGAAGTAACCTTCTCTCTCTCCTTACCCCTTCTCCCTCCCCCAAACCCTCACTCTCCCACCAACATCTCACAACAAGACACAATTTTCACTCATAACACATAATTTTTTCTCCTTTTAACTATTTCATCAGAAAAAGTCACCACAACACTTACAACTTATAACCAATTTTCGATAAATTCACTAGACACAATTTTACATATTACGAAGTTACCACACACACCCCACACACACACACACACACACCACACACACACACACCCCTTTGAACAACACCAAAAACGCCATCAATTACCTTTGAATACTCCAAAAACATCATTCGAACACAGCCAAAATAACCACTGAATACTCCCAGAGCACCTTCATAAATACTCTTGCACATCATTTGAACACCTTCAAAAACACCTTTGAATAGTCTCAAACACCATTTGAGTACTCCCAAAAACACCACTAAATACTACTAAAACACCACTGAATACAGTCAAAACACCACCAAAATCACCATAAACTAAGATCAACATCACAGACTAACACCCATTTTCACACAAATCCCCTCAAATCACTATAACCAAGACGATTACCAATTTCTATGAGTACACTCACCTCCAATTAAGATATAACATGAGCGCAAAAAAACATGAACACAAACCAAACACACACGAACACTTACAACAGAATCACCTCTTTTTCAGTATCTCTAGTTCGACAACAACGCCCATAA